TGGAATGCGGCTAACCTCAAACTGTACTATTTTTAATATTTTTCATTCTTATGTAATTTTTTGAGGAAGGATTTGTTTTCCCCACACTTTTGAATGTAACACTTCTTTTGTCAAATATAATAGGAGTGACTTATCTTTGCTGAAGCATTTTGCTGTTTTCGATGCCTGCTTTGAGGTTTCAACCAAGATGTCTTATTCCGGTTGAAAGAGTCGATGATTTGCTCAACCCTGTAGTTTCAACCGAGATGTTTTACTCCGGTTGAATGAGTTGATGATTTACTCAACTCTGAGGTTTCAACCGATATGTCTTACTCCGGTTGAAAGAGTCGATGATTTACTTAACTCTATGGTTTCAACCGAGATGGTTTACTCCGGTTGAATGAGTTGATGATTTACTCAACTCTGAAGTTTCAACCGAGATGTCTTACTCCGGTTGAAAAAGTTGATGATTTACTTAACTCTGTGGTTTCAACTGAGATGTTTTACTCCCATTGAATGAGTTGATGATTTACTCAACTGTGGTTTCAACCGAGATATTTTACTTCGGTTGAAAGAGTTAATGATTTGCTCAACTCTGTGGTTTCAACCGAGATGTTTTACTCCGATTGAATGAGTTGATGATTTACTCAACTCTGTGGTTTCAACCGAGATCTTTTACTCCGGTTGAATGAGTTGATGATTTACTCAACTCTGTGGATTCAACCGAGATGTTTTACTCCGGTTGAATGAGTTGATGATTTACTCAACTCTGTGGTTTCAACCGAGATGTTTTACTCCGGCTAAATAAGTTGATGATTTGCTAAAGGCTTTAGCCGAGATGCTTTGTCCCGGCTACAGAAGTTAGTGATTTGCAAAAGATTTAGCCGAGGTGCTTTACCCCGGCTAAAGTAGTTGACGTTTTGCTTAAAGGTTCCTGCCGAGATGGTGGGACATAGTCAACAAAGCAGTGCGACAATTAAAGAAATCAAAACTTTTCATTGATGAGAAACTGAATTACATAAAGTGGGGCAGGCAGCCCGATTACATTCTTTAAAAAAAAAAAAAAAAAATAAAAAAATAAAATAAAATAAAAAACTACACTAAGGGGGAAAGGTCAGCAAAGTTATCCCTGGTTGCGACTGCCTCCAAGTCGACCGGAGTTGTGGTTTCTCGAGCACCGAACTCAGCCTAGTCGGCGTCTTTAGGGCGGTTTCGTCCCTCGGCATCGTCTTCGGCGTTGTCCCCGCCTTCTTTCTCGGCCTCAACTTGCAGGGCACTGAAGACATCGTTTGCATATGGCACCATGTAGGCCGGCAAAAAGGCAGCGGGGGGAGAGGCAAACACATCGATTCTAGATCCTTGACCGAGCTGTTCGCAAGCAGCCTTCCAGCCGAACTTGAAGAAAATGTCCTTGGTGGCCTCGACTTGCTTGGTGTAGCTTTCCTCGGCCTTCCTGAAACCTTCGTTGTTCGCCTCGTCCACTTCATCCTTCCTTGACTGCTTTAACGCATCCAGCTCGGCCTGGAGAGCGTCCCTTTCCTTCTCAATAGCTCCCAGTTGGTCGAGCAATTTGGAATTGTTAGTATTAGCAATCTCCAGAGAAGTTTTTGACCGTCCCAGCTCGATTTGAAGGTGCTCAACCTGGCTGGCGGCGTCGGTTGCCTTCTGCCGGAGTCTGTGAATCCGTTCCATCACCAGATGTTGTTTCTGGATGGCCTGCAAGAAGAGATATTGAGTAAAGAAAGCCAACAGTGCAAACACTTAGAAAAATTTGAATAAAGCATGCGAAATTCTTACCCGGGTCATAGACTTGACCGAGGACTTCACGAGTCGGGTGTCGGGCACGTGATCACTGCCGGTCACGTCGCTCGGCAGGAGGAGGGCTTTGGTCAGATTGAAGGCTAGGAGGTGTTCCTTGTCGCCTTTGACCGAAGTATTTACCGGGATCTCCTTACCCTGGTGCTTCAACTAGGGCTTCCAAGGCGGAGTAGGCGCAAATGCGACTGCAGGTTGCTCGGTGTTCAGCTCTGCAACGAGCTCAGCTGTGGGATCAGCGGTTTGGGGCCTTTTTCCGGCTCGGCGGGTGTCCTTGGTGGTCTGCACCGCGACAGTTGACGCCAACGCAACCACGTCCCTGCTTATTTGACCGACAACAGCTGTACGGGAAGGGATGCTCGGCAGCTCGATTGAGGTGGCGGTGATGAGGTTTTTGATCCGGCTTCGCTTAGCCATTTCTTCTTCTTCGGTTAGCCGGATAAGGGGCATGTTCGGTAGTGTTGGATCGCGTGGTGGAGACGGTGTGTAGAGAAAATTCGTTACTCTACTTCGGCGTGGAGCGGAGTATCTGTAAGTCGGTACATAGCTGAGAAGTTCGTGGCAATCCTGGTTACGGTACCGCAGCACAGTTCTGATGGGTGCTTCGTTGGGATTATGGTAGTTGGCTTGCAAAGCTTCGATGGCTGCAAAGAGGAAAAGAAGAAAAGGTATTAGTACAGAATAGTGAAGTAAAAGAATTTGACCGAGCAGTTAGCACGGCTTACATGTTGAACCGAAGTTCTTGCTGATGTACCAGCCGGGCACGTCAGATGTTTCGTAATTTCCAAACACCCAGAAAAAGTCATCGTCGTGCATATCCTTATCTAGGGTGCCGGTTACAATCTTCTCTTTGCCCGACCTTATCTTTAGGTAGTAGTTAAGTCCGTTGCCTGTATGCCCGAGGGTGTACTAGCGAAGTATCTCGGCTAATCCTAGGTTAAGGCCCAGCCGATTATTCAGCTCGGCTATCCCGTTTATTACTCGATAGGTGTTGGTTGAAACTTGGGTTGATGCTAGCCCAGTGCGCCTCAAGAACTCGCACAATAGAAGGTTAATCGGGAAGCGAAGGCCACCTTCGATTATGGAAAGCACGATGAAAGCACATTGGTCCAGTCTGCCCCAAGGGGTTGTGTCCTCGGTACCGAGCTCAAGATGTACGTCTGCGGGGACGCTGTACTCTTCCCGGAACACGGCTAGTGCGACCGGCGTGTCGATCAGGAAGCGGTAACGCCCCATGTGAAGCCGACTAATTTTAACACGACTGTGTTTATTTGGCAAAATTCTCGGTTGATGGCTGCTCGGCTTTAGAGAGCCTCAGTATTGGTGTGTGGTCCCCTTGGACTCTACAGTAAAAAGAAGTGTAAGTGTAAGTGGGAGCGCGGTCAGATGGAGTGCCAAACCATCTCGGTCACAAGGGTAAACCCAAAAGCTCGGCCGCTCAAGCGGACCAGATTTTAGCCCGGTCGAGTGGTCCAGCACTCTGTTACCTCAATTCCTACGCGAGTTTTGCAAACTCGTAACTTGTTCGGTTTTGGTATTTTTTGGGATCAAAAGAAGACCTGGAGCCCGGTCCGCCCCAGATCGTCGTGTGTTCATCACAAAAGTTGAAGAACAGTTGAGAGAGAAGGGACAGAGGTGGATATTGGGGAGTGACGTCCTAACACCTACTTCAATCTTGCCCTAGACTCAATATCAAATGAAAAACAACAAAGAGATTACAAAAACTTACCAGTTTGGGGGCGAAAGTCGATTCTTCGAGCACAAATTCAATCCAAGACAATAACAGTGTTTGGGTAGAGAGGATGGCACTGCAGCGTTTTGTCGTTAGGAGCGGAGGAGAAACAGTAAGAAGAAAATGTGAAGGGGCAGAGGCGTGTTTATAGGAGAGAAAGAACCGCCAAAAATTTGAATGTGAAAAGACGGTTGGGTTGGCCATTCGAGGCCAATGTGCGAAGGACGCGTGTCCCTATTGACAGCGGCGTCAGTATTGAAGAGATAGGAAGAAGAGTTGAGGCATCGACCGAGCAAATCAAGAAACTGGTCGTGGGGAGTAGCGCGGTCGACGTCTTGCAGTTTAAGGACCGAGGGAGAATCTACCCCAGTCGGATCATGTAATCCCAGTCACGCTAGCGCGGGTGGAATTAAAGGGCAATTGAGAGGGAGATTTATGATCTGGCTTTGGGCCCCGGTATAAGCCGGGCAAAATGAGGGCCGAGCGTGTTTGGGCCGAGCTAACTTGGGCTTGTCCAGGGGTGGTTTTTCCCGATCGAGGCCCAAGACCATGTTTGGACCGAGCTACTTGGGTTTGTCCATGTCCAGTGTCGGTTTTGCTCGGCCAAGGATCAGCTCCCGTGTCTGGGCCGAGCTTACTTGGCCGAGATGATCGCCTGCCAACCCGGGTTCCATGGTTCGCACGTTTAGCTCGGTGGGAAAGGCCTTCTATTTGCCGGCTCGACCTGTCTTGAACTCGGCTCTGTCGAAATGCTACTGAGCTCGATTGTTATGGAGCTCGGCGAGTGAAGCACTCAGATTCGTTACGCAGCACGGTCGTGTGAGGCCGAGGTGATGCTGCCGGGCTGTCGAGTTCCCGCTAATGTTGTCTGGCAGTTTAGTTAGGTGGTGTTCGCTGGATTTGTGCTGACAGATAGGAGAGCAGCTCCACGTGTAAAGAAACTAATGGGTGCAGAGTTGAGTGCAGAAAGTATATAAGCATGACTGCGCCCCCCATGCAGGGCAAAAACATCATTTGGTAAGATAGACTTACATTCATTGAGCTTCTCTCTCTCTCTCTCTCTCTCTCTCTCTGAGTGTGTGCTAACTTGACTGTCAGAGGGGTTTCCGGCAACACACCGCCGGGTAGCTCACCGTCGTTGTGTTCTCAGGTTGATCGGATAGATTCAGAGCTTGGACGAAAAGAGTACGGACAGCGACGAATATTTCCTCCCCGTACAGATTCCTAACATTGTCCAATTATCATTGGACATGCCATAGGTTTGTATTCCTTTATCTTATGTTTGATTCATTGAAATTAAATGAAATAGGATGGTCATTCCATTAGAACATATATTTTCATATTAGTGAATCAAATACAACCTTATCATAACTACTTTTTTCTTAGCTGTAAGATGTATAGCTAAAAAAATTGAGTAATGAAGTTGTCTTCTTGAGTTCGCCGAAAACTTGCAAATATATAATTGGAGTTTTACCTGGAAATTTGGGGCAGAGTCTTGCTTTGATTATTTTGGCTGGAATTTTAGTATCATTTACATCCGGCCCAAAGCACACGAGACTTGGAAGATTTGCAAGGTAGACAGAGTGAATTTCTCGTGAAAAGATTTCTTCTTCGTTTTCCCTGGTGACAATCTTTTCAACCTTCTTGCAATGTTGAACTGTTAGATATTCTAGATTCACAAGAACGTTGGCCATGGAAATTGTGAATATATATCTCAGGTTGTCACAGTGCTGCACTCTTAAAGAACTTAGATTTTGGAAACAATGAGTTTGTTGCAAAATATTCTTCCATATGTGGGTCAACTCGGGCAAATACTTCAATTTCAATTCGCTTAACTGAGTGATTAATGTTTCTTTCTCAGCAACATCAGCACATACACCCTCCTGCAGATCAAATATCATTTCCAATGAATCACACCACCATACTTTTAGCCCTCGTATATTGTGTAGCCTTTGCATTAACTTGGATGAGACAACACTTGATAATTTTCCACAACACTGGACCCGCATGAATCTTACTTTGTCAAGGCGTCCGACTTCAAGTTGGTTGTGCCATATCTCAGTTGGCTCATCTATTCCTGTGACATCAAGTGTTCCCTTGGTGCTTAAACTAAACTGCAATTGTTATCACCTCAATTGTGTTAGTGACATATTTACTAATCCATTGTTTGGTTAAAAAAATAAGATCGGACTAATAGTTAAATACACATCATTTCCAACAAAATATTTCAGGGACTAATTATTTAGAACTAACAGTCTATTGTATTGCAATCTGCCTCTATCTAATCCGTCCAAACAAACACTCCCTTAGTGTTAAACACCATTTATTTGGGAGCTGGGAACAATTGACCAAAGGATAATTAATGATATACAAATAGAAAAATATATAAAATTTGTATACAGAATGATGTGGTTGCGCTGAGACTTGTCTTTTTGAAATCATGTGCCCATTAAAATGACATTTAATTACAAAACAATACTACCACTACATCATTCTAGAAAAAAATTAGGGAAAATATCATATCAATAGAGTTTTGAAAAAATAATTAGAAATTAGTGAGAAACTTTATAAATATTCATAATCAAAATTGTAAACTTTTTCATCGACTTGTATTTTTTTTTTTTTTTCCTGACATCAACTGGGATGTAATAATCCCAAAAAATTATGTCTAATTTTTATTTTTTAAAAGAATGGATAATTTTTCTTGGCAAAATCTTTGACCACATCAATGCTAAAGAGTTTATTCTCCTTGATTTTGTGTACCCAACAATTCTTTCCTCTTCAAACATTTAGAGGTTTGTCCTTAGTTTAATGGATATTATAAATATTTTCTTTGAAAGAATGAGTTGGTAATGTTGAATACTATAATTTTAAGACAACTCACTTACCTTTCTATCCAAGAGATGGTGTTGAACTGAGTTAAAAAATTTCACTTCTCGAACATTGCGCTCTTGTGGCTCTAGCATTCGCTGCAATGATGAAGGGAGTGCCCTCATGTTGGGACAATTGATTACTTTTATCTCCTCGAAGAATGATCCTTCAAATGTGTAAGCTTGGGGACATAAACTCTTGAGGTTTGGCAGATGATAGAGTCTGAGACTATTTAGTTGAGGGAACATGATTATATTTGTTGCAACTTCATCATCTACTTTGGGTTCCTCATTAACAATCGCTTCCAACACACCACATGCAGCTACAATTATTTCTTGTAGTTTCACAAGAAGTCTAGCTTGAGAAGATGAGAATATATATCTCAAACTACTACAACCCACTACTGTTAAGGATGCCAGGTTCTGAAAGCTTGGAATTCTTAGTAAGTTGCTCTTCCAAACATGTGTCAACTTTGGTAGATAACGTAGGACCAATTTTGTTAATGAAGGGAGTACGATATCTGGATAGCCTTCCCTAACAATTATTCCTTCAAGATCAAATGCAACTTCCACAGATTGACACCTCTCCACACTAAGTAGTTCAAGACTCTGCATGCCCTTAATCACATTGGATGGAAAAAGAATATTTGATAGCTTACGACACATCCAAATATTCATGTATCTCACTTCAGGTTGAAGTTCCCTAGGCCATATCTCTATCATGTTATCCATTCCAGCGATCGCCAATTTCTCAATGGTAATTAATTTAACCTACAAAGTCCATTCACAGGGTTACAAATATAGTTAAAACACAACATATTTTATTTCCATTAAAAAAATCCATTAAATATCGTTCATTTAATGTTGAAAATAACATAGCAAAATTTCTGATTCTGTTTGTGTCGAGTGTGGTTTAGATAACGAAGTTGCTAACCCCTTAGTCATGATCTTAAGTGAATTTCATCGTTTTTTAAATTAAAATTATTTTCTTCAAAAACTATAAAATTGGAGTATTGCTCTATACAAGTTTAAAAATTAGACCCACTTTTTAAGTTCAATGATGTGACAATCAATTAAGATATCTAAGGCGACATTCTCTCTCATATCTTCTCTAATTATTAACCAATCATATTATTTACATATCATTGGATCTAAAAAATTCGTGGACTTATATATCATTTTTCATGAAATTATACGCGTTTTGTAATGCAAGCTCAATATACTTGAAAATCATTGATTTTATCATTTCATTGCAAGATAAAGTTAACAAGAAAAAATAGAATATATTTTTGAGTTTAATAAAATATTGGCTTCCAAACACGCTTTACAATGTAAATCAGATTTTTGACAATTTAAGTAAATATGATCAAGTAAAATGATTGAGTGGGATCCTTGTTTGTTGTTTTTTTGTGTTTTGTTTTTCCTTTGATTGGTCCCTCTCCAATTCTTTGGTCAAGTGCTAGCATAGGATTGCGCTTGCTTTTTCATGCCAACCTAATTGGGATTGTCGACTCTAGCTATGATACTTTGTGCACTTCCCTCCTTTGTTGATGTAAGTTATGCTTGTAATTTTACTTTTCATCAATAAAGTCTTTTCTTTGCAAATCAAAAAAAAAATATATTAGATACTGTAATTAAGTATTACCATATTAGAATATTTTTATTCATAGCTTTCTTGGTGGCCACTCTTACATGACTATATATAGGCCTCTTATTGTATTGTGAAGAGACACATTATTGAATACACTTTTCTATTTCTTCAATACTACTAACATGGTATCAGAACTATAGGTTAAGTTCTTGCTATTCTTCGCCTTACCGGTGGGCAACAACCTTTCCTTGGATGCTCGCTGGATCTCAGTCCTATTTGCTATCTTTGCATCCCAAACCCCTTAGTCCTTGAACCTGAGTATCTCACAGCCACACATTCGTCTCTTTCTCCGACCATCACCGCCATTACTCACCTCAGCTCCTGCCATTGCCTCTACCTCGGACGTCTATTCCATCACCCCAATTACAGCTCCAGCCATGGCGCCAGCAATTCCAACCCATCGTCGCCGTCCTTCGCTGTTGCTCAACCACCAACCCACATTCAAGATCTTTCTCTTCCTCTCTTTGATTTACCCCTCTCTCATCTACACTCTCATTTTTTTAATCAAACCCATCCTACACACTTTCCCAAACCCACAATTTTTTAATTAAACCCATCCAAAATTCTCTTTCCTCAGGTATACTCTTTCTATTCAAACAAAACAATATGTTTTTCAACTCAATCACACAAGCTTGTCCCACTATTAAAATGAAAATTCCTTTCTACAATTTTTTTGTTTTAGAATATGATCTCTCTCTTTCTTCTGCTCCACTCTGTCATTCCCTATATTTCGACCTCAAATTGATTTATATCTTCAAACCTATTTGAGCTTGAGGGGGCAAGGGTAATATACTTATATCATGGTGAGCAAGGTGATACACCATGCAAACACCCAAGCTGTCCCTTGGCGCACCACCACCTAAGCTACCCGTTGGCACGCTACCTAAGTCGGCCCCTGATGCATTCTGTCTTAAGCTACCCCCTGGTGCACTCAATTACTACAATGGTCCTGTACGACCATAAACTGTCTTTTGGCATTAGCTTCGGTTGCTCCTACAATGATCCAATATGACCATAAACTATCTTTCAACATTAGTTTCGGCTACTCCTACAACGATCAGGCATGACAATAAATTGCATTCCAACATTGTTATTTTTATTTTATTTTATTTTCTGTAGTTTCTCTTTCCAATCTCAAATTGGTCTCTTTGCAACCACCTTGAGTTTGACGGAGACTGTTAGTGAATATTGTATATATATATTATATTCACTATATAATAGATACTGTAATTAGGTTTTACCATATTACGATATTTCTATTGTTAGCTTTCATGGTGACCACTCTTACTTACTGACCACTCTTCCTTGCTTATATATAGGCCTCTCATTGTATTGTAAAGACAAATTTTATTGAATGCACTTTTCTATTTCTTCAATACTATTAACATTGAGAAAGAATAAGGTTAACAAGAATGTTTTCTATTAAAATATCAAGCTTAAATTAATTAATTTTTGCTTTATTAATATGGTGGTCTACTAGGAGGCCTAGAGGGTATCTGTTGAAGAATGTTTTCTATTTGTCTTTTGGATGGTAGATTGTCCACAGATTGACGACTGGATTCTGGATAATCCACTTGATAAGGAGGGATAGATTAAGAAGGAAAACATCCTTATACCACCGGAAATGGGTTAAGGAGGGACAACGCAGATTCTGGAGAAGCTCACGACCACGGTCCTGAGTAGAGGTACTGGTGCCAACAAAGTGGTAGATAATTGTTTGGATGAGGGTGTAGACCGCATCAGACTGTTGGACCTGCTGGTTGGTAGTTGGGTCAAGCTCTAATTTGACAGCAGTCAAAATTTCAGTTTGTTGGAGGGGAGTCATAATATTATCTCACCAACCTTTAAGAATACCGGTAAAGCCATTGATAATAAACTTAGCTATGGCCTGGTCATTATTACTGTATTGGCGACAAATAGTAGCATACATCATCATTTGGTGTAGCTTTTTATAAATGCCAAATTCTGATTCACCATCAATATTCCATTCATAAATGGTTTTACCATGGTAACTATGCTGTTCATTCAGATAAGCTTCTTCATAAAGAATATCTGGGGGAGTAGGTCTGGAATAGTAATTTCTGGTATGAGGTAAAAATCCTGGTTTAGCAGAACTGTAATAGTTTAACTTATTGACAGATGAGGGTTCCTGTCCATTGTTACCGATGAAGGTCTTTCTTTATGTAATGACCTCAAATTCCAGTATCAAATGAAACAACAAAACTTAACAGGAAGAAAAGAATTAGGCGAATTTTGTGACCAGTTTGCCTATGAACCCGGTATTAAATACCCAGCCAAAACCAGAAAGATTATTCATAAAAAAAACCTCTAAACCTTACAGAAAAAAGTCTTATCCAAAGACTAGCCATCCGAAACCTACTAAGAAGTTTTATCCCAAGAAATCCACCAGTAAATCAAAAGGAAAATCTAAATCAGAAGTTAAGTGCTATAAATGTGGCCAAACAGGACATTATGCTAATAGATGTAGATCTAAAGCTAAATCTAAGGTAAATGAACTAAGCCTTGATCCAGACATTAAAGACCAGTTAATCCAAGCCTTAGAAGCTGAAGAAATTTCAACTGAAGATGAAATCCCTTCTGATGATGAGCTTAACCAGTTATACTCTTCTTCCTCTGATGAAGATGATCCAGAAGAATCATGTCCCTGTAGTACTAATCAGGAACAAATATCCGAAATCAATTACTGGAAATCCATAGTAGAAATGAATGGTTTGAATCTAGGAGAACCCAGTAGTATCAATGTTTTAACAGACACTCAAAAGGATATGCTTGCTGTAGCCGATCAGATCCAGGATCCAGAAATAAAAATAAAATATTTAAAGATGTGTTATGAACATCAGCAAACAATAACAGATACCCCTCATATACCAGATTATTCTTATAATCTCCAAACAGTAATTAACAGAATCCAGACTAAATCAGTAGTCGAACAGCCCACTTCTCTCCAGGATTTAAAAATGGAAATTAATATCCTTCCAACATTGTTATTTTTATTTTATTTTATTTTCTGTAGTTTCTCTTTCCAATCTCCAATTGGTCTCTTTGCAACCACCTTGAGTTTGACGAAGACTGTTAGTGAATATTGTATATATATATTATATTCACTATATAATAGATACTGTAATTAGGTTTTACCATATTACGATTTCTATTGTTAGCTTTCTTGGTGACGACTCTTACTTACTGACCACTCTTCCTTGCTTACATATAGGCCTCTCATTGTATTGTAAAGACACATTTTATTGAATGCACTTTTCTATTTCTTCAATACTATTAACATTGAGAAAGAATAAGGTTAACAAGAATGTTTTCTATTAAAATATCAAGCTTAAATTAATTAATTTTTGCTTTATTAATATTTTGAAAATCGAGGAATGACTGATTAGAGGTGAACTTATAAATTTTCTCTACTCTATCGGGGGCAAACTCACCTAAAAACAAAATAGGTTTATCATACACACACACACACACACACACAAAGAGATCAGGGTGGCTTAGGGAGGTAGAGGTAAGGCCAGCCTTGAGATTTATCATATCTTAGGCAAACTATGAAATGAGGCCCTCTTACATATACTTTTTTGGATAAATTACAAATGCATCCCATGAAGTTTGCTTAAAATATGAATTGCTTCCTGTGATTTTGAAAATTATAGTATGTCTCTTAAGGTTTCTAATTTCATAACAAATAGAGCATTGTATTAATAAATCATCAAACCAATTAACGAGATTTAATGATATCAGAAATTTATTTCAATTAATAATTTAGGTAATTTTATTATTGAATAAAAGAGCAGTTACAAATTTCATTTTTTCAATTAATTTTGTTAAATAAAATTTTTTAACAATGGGATATTTATAATTTTCTAAACCACAGAGGTAATCTATATTTTAAGCAAACCTTAAGAGGTATTTATAATTTACACTACTTTTTTTGTAAAAATTTTATAGATAAAATGATAAGTACTAATAATTTTTTTATTTGTTAATAGTCACAAAAAAGTTTACTTGCACAAATAATCGTTAAAATTATAAATTAAAATTTACTTCCATATATTAAGATTAAAAGAAATCATTGCAAACTCTCAAAAGGATAAAAATTTGATGTTGTTATTTTATAATTTAGCAATATTCAGTTTACAATTGACCCAACTATCACATTTTAGCAGCAAAATAACTAATTAAATTTTCATAATCTAATTTATTTACCAAATCTTTTGAAATAGATAATATAACTAATCCATTCGATAATTCTTGCAACATTATTGATCAAAGGAAAGATTTATTCAATATATATATACATTCAATTTGGCCCAACAACACATATATATGAAAAAATTTAAAATTGTTCGTTGCTAGTACAAGAATTTTAGGGGCCCTTTAGACTAGGCCACAATCAATAAAAAAATTTACTATAAATTACAAATATATCTTTTAAAATTTTCTTAAAATACGGATTCCCCTTGTGGTTTGGAAAATTATAAGTATTCTCAATTTTATTTTATTAATTAATTCATATAATTTTATTATTGTATGAGAGAGCAATTAAGAATTTTATTTTTTCAATTAATTTTGTTAAATAAAAAATTTTGCTTAATAAAATAAAAATAAAAAAATTGGGCCCCAATGTTTATTGGGTCTATTTGAATAATATAGTATAAGGTACTAATGAATTGGGTTATCTACCAGCCGATCCTGTTTTTGGATTTTATTACCCATTAGGTTCTGACTTAGAACCTTATGTACACATAAGTCTTGGCCTATAATTTTATTATTGTATGAGAGAGCAATTAAGAATTTTATTTTTTCAATTAATTTTGTTAAATAAAAAATTTTGCTTAATAAAATAAAAATAAAAAAATTGGGCCCCAATGTTTATTGGGTCTATTTGAATAATATAGTATAAGGTACTAATGAATTGGGTTATCTACCAGCCGGTCCTGTTTTTGGATTTTATTACCCATTAGGTTCTGACTTAGAACCTTATGTACACATAAGTCCTGGCCCATCTATTATTTTTCCTTTTTTACCCTTGAGTGTTTTGTGTTGCCCTAAACAATCTTTTGTTCTCTCTTTTCCTCCACCATTTGTGCAGCCTCTCTCTCTTTCTCACTACTACTACAATAACCTATTACCATCGCGCCTCTCATCACGCGGAGATCACCATCATCGCAACTCGCCTACATCTGATGGCCAACCATGCGTAGTTCGTAGAGAGGGATTTGTGGGGTTGCAACGACTATGCATGGCGGGAATGAGGGTTGCGATAATGGTGGGGCAGCGGTGGTAGGGGCGAAGATGTGGGTTACGACGAGGAGGGGAAAGGGATGGAGGTCAATGGCTGATGGCCAGCGATGGACAAGGTTTTGGGTTAGGGTTAGGGTCAAAGACAATGAGAATAATTTGGTATTATTTAAAAATTAGTGGTGTGTATTGAGACACAATTAAAAGCTTTAATTTGTGTGTGGTGTGAACAGAGTAGGTGGTATGTACTGAAAGGATTTGTGGTGTGTAAATAGAGTCACCCTAAGAAAAAGGAAGGACTTAATGGAATATCAACCTTATCAATAGGACTTTTAGATGATTAACCCTACAAAATAACATTGTAAAACTAATCATTTCAAAAGTTCTTCCCAAGAATTTTAAGTAAATCAAAAACCTTATAAATTATAAAAATCTCTTTGGAACCACTACTCAAATAAGTCCAAGTCTTCTGCAGTGTTTTTCCTTGTAATGTTTGTGTAGTGCACCAAAATGACGCCATTTTGGTGTGCGCACAAAAAATAATGAAACGAAACGAAACATAGAAGAGACGAAAAAGCCAGAGAGAAGAAGACCCACAGTGCAAACAGAGCACTTCTTCACCTTCCTTTCTCACATCGACCACCTCTGGCAATCACCCCTCATTTCCCATCCCATCACATCCCTCTCATTTCCTAAAATATTCCATTAGCATCTCTGGCAACCCCCTCTAGGAGATCCACCTCATCTTCCCACTGTAGCCCTATCCCTACCAATCCTTCCCCCCATCTCAACTCCGACGAGCCTCTCTAACCCGTTCCAACCCCCATCCACCCCTTTCCAACCGCCATTGTTGTCGCAAGCTCTCTATGTATCTATCTCTATTTCTATTTCGATCTCGCCAACATTGGTGTTAGCGGGGGTAGTAGGGTGGTCAAATAGTGGAGGGGTAGTATCGGTCAAGCACCTTCTTCTCTCTCTCGCCTGCGGGTCTTTTCTCTGGTGCTTCTATGCTTTGCTCTTGCGTTTTGTTTCAAAATTATTTTTTTTGGGGTGTGCAACAAAATGATGTTAGTTTAGTTTTGCATGTGGCATTTATCCATGCAAAATTCTAACGGTGAATGATAGCGAGACTACATTGTAACAAAATTGAAAATATAGGGTTTACATTGAAACTATAGTGACTAAACTGACATTTCGTTTAAACTATAGGGACTAATGGTTGTTCCTTAACCTCAAAACCCTTTATTTTAAATTGAAGGGATAATTACAAAAAATAATAAATAATAAATAAATAAAACCTCCAATGTTTGACCCTTGCAACAATATAAATTCTAAGTTTTCAATTATCAATTGAAACCTTAATTTTTTTTTAAATTGTTTTCAATCTAAATCATTTGCCTACTTTTGTTAACTAAAATTCACCCCCCAAAAAATAGTATTTTAGTTATTAAACTCAATGTAGATATACATAAAATGTCCAAAATATCCATTTTCATTGAGTTTAATGACTAACATACCCATTTTTATTTTTATCGATTTTACTTAACAAAAATAGGCAAATGATTCAGATTAAAAACAAATCAAAAATTCAGGTTTTAAATTGACAAAATCAAAACTCATGGTTTATTTTGTTACAAGGGTCTTTTTTTTGGTGTGTGTGTGTGTATGTGTATATGTAATTTCCCCTAAATTCTTCCATCCAAAATACAATCTTAGTATTTTTAAATAAGAGGACTTGCGTGTAATGCCTAACGTATAGACTTATTGTCCAATATGTCTTGTGAGAATTAATGGCATTTTTCATCAAATACTATTAAAAAACGTCACTAATTATTAATTTTCAGCGACAATTTGAAAAATTTGTCACAAAAAATGTCACAATTATAAGTTTTAACGGTAATTTTAAAAAATCATTACAAAAAGTCGCTAATTTTCAACTTTCAATGACAGCTTGAAAAATTCGTCATAGAAAAATGTCACTAATTGTAAGATTTAGCGACAAATTTACTAGGACTTGATGGGAATTAAGTCCAACTATTAGGACCTATTGATAGTTTACCCTTCAAATAATTTGGTCAAATTTCGCAAAATTACAATCCAATTCATATTGGTTTAGAAATAGGGCAAATTATACCAGTAGTCTCTATAATTGTCTCTCATGTCAATTTGGTTTCTATAATATTAATTTTGCCCTTTAATTCTTCAAATTGTGTCAATCTAGTCCAAGTGATAATAGCTGTTAAAAAAATGAATAAAAATCAAAGGCAAAATGATCTATTAAAAAAGGAAAGAATCGTTTCAAATTGGATGCGAATCCTTCAATAACTTTGAAGGGAATTTCAAAACCATTTTGTCCCTTAATTTTAGTCCAATTTCTAAATGAAATATTATCAATTAGACTAAATTGATACCATGTGCAAAATTGAAAGGTAAAATTGATGCGATTAAAATTATAACCAAATTGATATAAAACAAACTGCAAGAATTAAATGTAATTTATCCAAAGAAATACAACACATAAAAATGAAAATTTGTTCCTAAATACTAAATTAATTTCAAGTGTAGTTTCACATTCTTATTTTTGCATCCAACAACATATTCAATCCAAAATATGTTGTGTTCTCATTATAGACAAAAAGGTCAAATGAAAATAGCAAAATAATAAATAAAATTTATAGACACCCCACAGCAATGAAGCTTACATAAATAAATAAATAAATAAATAAATAAGCTTAAGTCAAAGAAGCATACCTTATTGAAGAGAGGTTGTATAATATCGTAATTGCTATCCGAAGTATTGCAAAAACTATTAAGCTTTGGCATCTCCCAAAGTATCAGCTTGTTCAATTGCGGTAGCTCAATTCCATTCATAGCCTTGCAGAGAGCAGTAAAACTTGGTAGGCCTATAAGATACAATTCCTCTAGTTTAGGAAACACAATTTTATCTGTTGTTTCTACTATTGTTGATGCTATCTCATTTTGAGTTCCTTCTTCTTCACTCGAAATAAGTACTTCCATCATGCGACATTTAGATACCTTAAGTATCTGTAGTTGCATTAGATCTCTCGCTATGGATAATGAGAACATACTTTCCAATTTATCACATCTCTCCAATTCTAGAATAGTCAAGTTGCAGAGCCGTACAAGTTGAGTAGGACCCTTCCACAAATGCGTCCCTGTGGGCACGTCCCATAGGTTTAGCTTTTTCAACGCACTGAAGGCCACCTGTAATGCCCCAATTTTCATAAAATCCAATGAAACGAATCAAACTCGTATTCGTTATTTATTTTTAAATCAAACTAAATTGACATGCGGAAGTCAATAATAATCATAAACAAAATAATTCTCTTCTCCTGTTATACTTCATTTCATTATAGTTTGAGATTTACAAAGGAGATTACGTATTATTACACATTCACAATTTCCAAAGCATAGATCTATCACAAGTAATACAATGCTAGATAAATATTCAAAATTTAAATGCCCTAATGGATTACAAGTTACAATGGTTAGAACCACATTACAAAAAGAATGGGTCTCTACCCAAACATATAAACCAATCCTTTACAAAAATAAGCAAACAAAATAAAAGAGCATTCGTGCTCCGAAAATCACATCACGAGCCTTCAATGAGGCGAAGGCAAATCACCAACACCTAAAAATGATTTTCCATAATGGGATGAACTCTAATGCCCAGTAAATATAATATTAACAATCTATATGAGATTAACATGATTATGATCATGAATGCAATGATGCGCTATGCTTAAAATATAAGGTTTTTTTTTTTTTTCAATAGGATGCTCAATGCACTACTTTCAAAACAATATTCATTTCAACAATTTCATTTCAAAACATCGGGGTAGTAAATAAGATATTGGAATTCCCTGGTACGCGTCTGGAAGTAGGTCTCAAGCACCACCAAATACCATTTTAACGGCTACTAACCGGAACGAAATTGATACCTACTCCGCTCGTGTTTTAGGACTTTCACCATTACTGTCAAACCAACTTAATTCTCAAATCCACAATTACATCCCCTTTCCAGATTTACCACGTTATCAACATTTCCAACATTTTCAAAATAATAGCATAATCTCAATGTAAGGCCATGGGAGTGCAATGGATGCATGAAACAATAATCTGTAACAAAATATTCCAATACGAAAATATATTTAGAACATAACTCAACATTCTCAAGAATTCTAAAATAGTATGAGATTCCAATAAACTCATCAGTTCTCAACATATATCCCATATTTCATAATTTCTATTATTTCCAATAAATCCAATAAATCCAATAAATTCATGATAACTAATATCTCCAAGGAAATTCACAATCTCCATAATAGATCACCAATTTTCACATTATTCCAAAAATTTAATCCTATTCAAAATCACATTTTTCATTTCTCAAATTTTCAAGGGTTTGAAAACAATTTAGAGTGTTGTCAATTTAAATATAACAAAGGTTTTAAATAACGGTGGCGGTTACTAAAATGGTAGGAATAATGCAGACGCGGTTGCGGGGTGTAACTGTCATAGCGTAACGGCGGCAGCAACCGAAGTCGTGAATTTTTAAATCTTCACACAACTTTAAGAAAACATATCAATAAGCATGTTTTTATTTCAAAATCACATTAAGCGAGGCTCAAAATGATTATTAGGATTTTTGTTTAGTTTTAAAACATGATCCAATATATATACTAATTTTTATATTAGTTTTAAGTTGCTATGAAAAATTTTCCTATTGTTGAATTTATTTAATTTTCTTTACTTTACGAATTATAATTATGGATAACTTTTCCGATTTGTTAAAAAAGTTAATATTAAAAACAAAAGTCTCAGAAATAGAAATTCAAAATAGAAAATGCCAAACATAATAATGTAAAAGTACATAGCATGAAATCTAAATTTTGTTCAATAAATTTAACATAAGAGAAATAGATTAAGCTCATATTCAAATATAATTAAGTAAAAGAGTACTGAAATCATGTAGAATTTGAAAAATGGACATTCGAAACATATATGGATTTTTACTTAGTATTTTTAAATAAAGGGACTTATATATAGGTCCTAAAAGGTGGACTTATTGTCCACTAGGTCCTATGAGAATTAATGGTGTTTTTCATCAAACACTATTAAAAAATGTCATTAATTGTTAATTTTCAGTGATAGTTAAAAAATTGTCACAAAAAATGTCACTAATTATAAGCTTTAGCAACAATTTAAAAAAATCATCACAAAAAGTCACTAATTTTCAACTTTTAGCGACAATTTAAAAATTTTGTTACAAAAAAAATCATTAATTGTATGTTTTAAAGACAATTTATAAAAGCCATGACAAAAAAAAATCACTAATTGTTAATTTTTAGCGACATGCAAAAAATCGTCACAAAAAAAATATTTTTAGCAATGATTTTACTAAGTTTTATTTTCAATAGGACTTGATAGAAATTAAATCTAACTATTAGAACCTATTGGTAGTTTACCATTTAAATAATTTGGTCAAAGTTTGCAAAATTACAACCCTATTCATATTAGTTTAGCTAAAGTTTTAATCAAAGGAAATAGGGCAAATCAGGCCCAGCCCTGAGATTTCCGAGGCCCAAACCCTTCACATTTTTTTTTTTTCATTGAATGAAAAGAAAATGAAAAAAAAAAATGAAGATAAAAGACAATATTTGTGTCAAAATCATAAAAAATACTTAGTATTACATTATAACAATTAATAAGTGTTGCTTGATCCTCGCTCTTCTAGCATTTTTAGAAGTAAATAAATCAATCATACTTGCATAATCTAGTTTTTTTGCAAAATCATTTTTAATGGATAACAATGCTAATTATTTTAAATGGTCTTTTCAATTTTTTAATGGGTCAATTTATTTTAAGTTAGTTTAAGTCTTCCTTAACTTTTTTTTTATTTTTTTGGGGTTTTAAAACATACCTAATATATTACAATAAACTATAATAGGAGGGGATCCTTTTTTTTAGTCTATTTTCAATGGATAACAATGTTAATTTTTTTGAATGGGCCTTTCAATTTTTGTCAATTTATTTTAAGTTAGTTTGGGCCTTCTTTAATTTTTTTTTAACTTAAAACATACCTAATATATTAAATATATTACACTAAACCATAATAGAAGGGCCCCTTTTTTAGGTCTATTTTGAGGGGCCCTAGGCCATGGCCTTGTTGGCCCATGCCGAGGGCCGGCACTGGGGCAAATGATATCTATAGTCTCATCTCAATTTGGTTTCTGTAATATAAGTTTTGACCTTTAATTTTTCAAATTATGTCAATCCAATCAGCGTGATAATAACCGTTAAAAAATTGAATAAAAATCGAAGGCAAAATAATCTATTAAAAAGGGAATGAATCGTTTCAAATTGGAAGCGAATCCTTCAATAACATTGAAGGGAATTAAAAAACCATTTTGTCCCTTAATTTTAGTCCCATTTCTAAATGAAATATTGTCAATTAGACTACATTGATACCATGTGCAAAATTGCAAGGTAAAATTGATGCAATTAAAATTATAAGAACCAAATTGATATAAACAAACTACAAGAATTAAATGTACTTTACTAAAGAAATACAACACATAAAAACGGAAATTTGTTCCTAAATACTAATTAATTTTAAGTGTAGTTTGACGTTCTTATTTTTGCATCCAACAACATATTTGATCCAAAATATGTTGTGTTCTCATTATAGCCCAAAAGGTCAAATGAAAATAGCAAAATAATAAATAAAATTTGAAGACGCCCCACAGCAATGAAGCTTACATAAATAAATAAATACATGAGCTCAAGTCAAAGAAGCATACCTTATTGAAGAGAGGTTGAATAGTATCGTAATAGCTATCCGAAGTATTGCAAAAACTATTAAGTTTTGGCATCTCCCAGAGTATCAGCTCGTTCAATTGCAGCAGCTCAATTCCATTCATAGCCTTGCAGAGAGCAGTAAAACTTGCCAGGCCTTTAAGATACAATTCCTTTAGTTTAGGAAACACAATTTTATCTAATGTTTCTGTTGTTGTTGATGCTATCTCATTTTGAGCTCCTTCTTCACTCGAAATAAGTACTTCCATCTTAGGACATTCAGATACCTTAAGTATCTGTAGTTGCATCAGATCTTTGCCTATGGATAATGAGAACATGCTTTCCAATTTATCACATCTCTCCAGTTCTAGAAAAGTCAGGTTGCGAAGCCGTACAAGTTGAGTAGGACCCTTCCACAAATGTGTCAATGCGGGCAAGTCCCACAGTTCCAGACTTTTCAACGCACTAAAGGCCACCTGTAATGTCCCAATTTTCGTAAAATCCAATGAAACAAATCAAAATCGTATTCGTTATTTATTTTTAAATCAAATTAAATTGACATACGGAAGCCAATAATCTTATCAAGATTCAACAATAATCACAAACAAAATAATTCTCTTTTCCTGTTATATTTCATTTCTTTATTGTTTGAGATTTACAAAAGAGATTACGTACGATTACACATTTACAATTTCCAAAGCATGGATCTATAACATATGATACAATACTACATAAATATTCAAAATTTAAATGCCCTAATGGATTACAAGTTACAATGGTTAGAATCCTATTACAAAAAGAATGGGTCTCTACCCAAACATATAAACCAATGCTTTACAAAAATAAGCAAACAAAATAAAGGAGCATTCGTGCTCCAAAAATCACATCATGAGTCTTCAACGAGGTGGAGGCAAATCACTAACATCTAAAAATGATTTTCCACGAAAAGGTGAACACTAATGCTCAGTAGATATAATATTAACAATGTATATGAGATTAACATGATTATGATCACGAATGCAATGATGTGCTATGCTTAAAATATAAGTTTGGACATAAAAGAAATAGATTAAGTTCATATTCAAATATAATTAAGTAAAAAAGTAATGAAGTCTTGTAGAACTTGAAGATTGGACATTCAAAACATATATAGATAAGATTTTTACTTAAGTTCTATGTAACAAGAAAATAAAAAGCAAAAATAGCAATACATACGAAATTTATATTAAAACAAATATAGATATGTAACGGTCGGAATCGCTGTAACAGTGCTGTAGCGGTGATGTAACGACTGCTATGGCCTTTACGTAACGATGGCGGCCGTTGCAGTCATGAATTTTTGTCACACTGCTATAGCGGCTATAACAAGTAACGATAACCACCACAATCATTACATAATGACATTAGAAACGGTTGAGGCTACTTTTTAAAACCTTGAATATGACACTTTGAAATTTATATACCATAAATCATTTTGGGAAGAGAATTTTAAACATATGGTAAAATATGAGCAAATCCTAATTTTTATGCGATATATATATAATAATAAAACCTCAATTTCTTCAAAATCATAACTAACAAAAAATGGTACACAATCAAGGTAAAACAAATATACAAAGATAATATCATCCCTACCTCAAACTAAAAGAGGAGAAGAAAAGTCTCAAAATCGAATGCATCGAAAACGCGATCGGCCCCGGTCAAAACAAAATCCTCAATGCGCTCTATATTCCGTATCAAAGCAGCAAAGCGAGATTCTAACTCTAGATATGGTGGATTGAAAGTTTTGTGTGATAATAAAAAATTATTTAAAAAAGGGAGACAGATGAGAGGAAGAGAAAGAGATACGGAAGGAGAAGAAAAAAATGGAAGGAAAGAAAGAAATTATTGGATTTGTGAACTTCACATTATTTGGCAAAAAAATTCCCCTCATTGATCTACACCGCAAGAGTTTTGTGAGAGAGATTTCATAATCTGGCTTTGGGCCGTGGTAATGACCGGGCTAAAAAGAGGTCCGAGCGTGTTTGGGCCGAGCTAACGTTGGCTGATCTAGAGTGGATTGCTTGGTTGAGGTCCAGGGCCCATTCGGCCGAGATGATCGTCGGTCAACCCAGGCTTATTGTTTGCGCATGTAGCTCGGCGGAAAGGTCTCTCACGGACCGGCCTAACCTGTCTGGAGCTTGGCCGTACTGGAATGCTACCAAGCTCGGTTGTGATGGAGCTCGGCGAGTGGCACTATTGGACTCATTAAGTAGCTCGGTCGAAGGAGGCCGGTATGATTCCGCCGGGCTGCCCGTTCCCGCCAATGCCGAGTGGCGGTTTGATTAGGTGGTGTTTAGCTGAATTTGCGCTGACAGATAGGAGAGCAGCTCCACGTGCCAAGAAGTGAATGGATGCAGAGGTGAGCGCAAAAAGTATATAAGCATGATTGCGCCCTCCATGCTGAGATGGAACATCAGTTGGTGAGAAAAACTTTAACCTTCATCCAGCTCATCTCTCTCTCTCTCTCTCTCTCTCTCTCTCTGAGTGTGTGCTAACTTGACCGTTAGAAGGGTTTTCCGGCAACACACCGCCGGGTAGCTCACCGCCGTTGTGTTCGCAGGTTAATCGGATAGAAGCAGAGCTTGGACGCAAGGAGCACGGGCTTCAGTGAATATCAGCTCCCCGTACAAGTTTCTTTCTTCAAGACCATTCAGCTAGTTTGGTTCTACTAAAATTCATTTTTCAAAAAATTGAAATTTTTTATTTTTCATTTTTTTTTTCACTTAATTTTTTTTAATATTTTAAGTAATCTTTTTAATTTTGAGATACACATAATTTAAATACACTTAAAAAGTAAAATATTTATGAAAAAATCTTTTAAAAAAATTAACCAAATACCAAAAATATTTTTTAAAAATACAAGAATTCAGTATATTTTTGTATTCTTGTATATTTATTGATTTTTTAAATATTTTTTAAAAAATATTTTATTTTTTAGATACATCTAAATAAGGTACATCTAAAAAAATAAAAAATTGTTTAAAATTTAAAAAATATTCACTAAAAAAAAGAAAAATAAAAAATAAAAAACTCAATTTTCAAATAATTGAATTTAAAAATTGAAACCAACATAGTAATTAGCTTTGTCTAGTTTGATTGAAGGAGGATAAGCAAGTTTGTTTGATCTCTCTAGTAGTTAATTGTTAGCTTTTTTTTTTTTTTTAACTAAGCTTTTGTTTTCTTGGCTTCGACCCTATCTTACCAAAAAAATAAGGGTAAATTACACTAACACCCCCTGAGATTTCTATTTAATACCCCCTTACATTTAAAAAATTACATTCACCTCCCTAAGATTTGTAATCTCATTACAAATTGCCCTTGATTTGTTGATAGCATGCCCTAAAATTTTCTAAATGACCATCTTGCCATTTTTCCTACCAATTCTTCTTCCTATTATCATGACTACATTCTACAACTTTCCATCATTGAATTTTATCTGAACATATTCTTATTCAGTGATAATATACAAGCATAAATTTTATATAGAATTTTCAAACATAATGATTGCTTAATGGTGACCTTTTACTTTAAAACAAAACACCCATAAACATGAGGAACATGGAGGAAGTAGGCAGTCATATGGAAAACCACGACTATGGTTTCTATCGTAGGATTAGGGACTTCGAAGTGGAGTCTGCATTTAAGAAGATGAAATTGAATAAGACTTTAAGATCCAATGATATACCTATTAAAGCGTGGAAATGTTTGGGTAAGAACGGTGTAACGCCCCAACCCCTCACATATCATCAATATTGTCCGCTTTAGGCTATGCTCGCACGGATTTGTTCTTTCTAGTGGGTCATCCATCCCAAAACTACTCCAACCTAAGCACACTTAACTACGGGAGTTCTGCTAAGGATTTCACCATCCGAGAAAATGCCTCAATGCTATATAAGGGTTCAAGTTTTTACTTTTATAGCCTAGGAACTCCCTTTTCATTCTCGATGTGGGACACTAGGACCTTACAATCCATCCTCCTTAGGGCTGCACGTTCCTGTGCTATAACCTGCCAACTCGCAAGCCTACCCACATGAACCAAGAGATGCCAAGGGCCCACACTCGGTACTCCGGAGAGTTGACTTTGATACTATTTGTAACGCCTAAACCTTCACATGTCATTGATATTGTCCGCTTTGGGCCATGCCCACACGGATTTGTTCTTCCCAGTGGGTCACCCATCCCAGAACTCTCCAGTTAAACGTGCTTAAGCTGGAATAATTCTGAGATGGGTGACCCACTGGGAAGAACAAATCCGTGCAAGTATTGCCAAAGCGGACAATATTAATGATGACATGTGAAAGGTTGGGGCATTAAAAAGGGGGTTGTTTGGTTGACTAATTTATCTAAAAAGATTTTGTTGACTAGAAAAATCCCGAAAGAGTATAGGAAGAGTATTTTAGTGCCAATATATAAGAATAAAAGAGATGTCCAGAATTACAACAACTATAGATGAATCAAATTAATGTGTCACACAATGAAAGTATGGGAAAGAGTGATGGAACGTCAATTACAAGATATAACAAAGGTGTTAGAGAATCAAGTTGGGTTTATGCTTGGTAGATCAACCATTGAAGTGACCTATCTTTTGAGGAGAGTAATAGAAAAGTATAGAGAAAAGAAAAGAGACATTCATATGATTTTTATTGATCTTGAGAAAGTATATAATAGAGTACCTTGAGATATAATCTAGTGGGTGCTAGAGAAGAAAAGGGTGACAAAAGATTACATTGATGTGATCAGGGATATGTATGAATGTGTGGTGACCACTATTAGATCGTCTGCTGGAGAGCCGAATGAATTTCCAGTTACTGTAGGGTTACACCAATGATTAATCTTAAGTCCTTATCTTTTCACTTTAGTTATGGTTGAGTTGACGCGCAATATTCAAGATGATGTGCCATGGTGTATGCTTTTTGCAGATGATATCGTGTTAGTAGATGAGATTAGAGAATGAGTTAACACTAAGTTAGAGATTTGGAGAAAAGCACTTCAATCTAAAGGATTTAAGATAAGCAAAACTAAGACAAAATGTAATTTTAATTAGTAATAGTCACAATGAAAGTAGAGAAGAAGAGAGATTGAGAACCAAGAACTACCTAAGAGTGAATATTTTCGTTATTTAGGATTGATTATCACAACGACTGGGGAGATTGGAGCGGATGTGGTCCACCAAATGAATGCGGAGTGGCTTAAATGGAGAAGTGCTTCTAGAGTACTATGAGATAAACGATCAGTACCCATTAGACTAAAATGGAAGTTTTATAGAATGGCTATTAGACCAGCGATGTTGTATGGGACGGAATGTTAAGCAACTAAGAAGCATGTAGATAAGATAAGTGTTGCTGAGATGAGGATGGTAAGGTGGATATGTAGCAAGACTAGAAAAGACAGAGTTAGGAATAAGTATATTCGAGAATAGGTAGGAGTAATACCAATAGAAGACAAGTTGAGAGAGAATATATTGAAATGGTTTGGTCATATATAACAAAGACCAACAGAGGCAATAGTGAAGAGATGCGATATAGTGACGGTAAATTGTAGTGTTAAGGGAAGAGGCAAACCTAAATTGACGTGGACTACTTAGTAAATAGAGATATCAATCTCCTTAATTTGACTAACGAAATGGCCTTGAATAGAGTCAAGTGAAGAAGAAGGATTCATGCAGCCGACTCCATTTGATGGGACTTAAGACTTGATTTACTTTGGTTTGGTTTATTTCCACTATTATACCTAGATTAGATCATTTTAATCTAAATATATTTAAAAAGTATAAAATTTGTAAAAAAAAAAAAAAAACTTAAAAAAAAAATCCATTGAATACAACAAAATAAGATAATATATTGGATTTTTGTTTTTTATTTTATTTTTTTGTATTTGGTGAATTTAAAAAAAAATATCACAAAATATTATACTTTTTAAGTATATCAAGATTAGGTGTATCTAAAAAAATTTAAAAAAAAATACTTAAAAGGTTAAAAAATGAATAGAGTCAAGTGAAGAAGAAGGATTCATGCAGCCGACTCCATTTGATGGGACTTAAGACTTGGTTTGCTTTGGTTTGGTTTATTTCCACTATTATACCTAGATTAGATCATTTTAATCTAAATATATTTAAAAAGTATAAAATTTGTAAAAAAAAACTTAAAACAAAAAATCCATTGAATACAACAAAATAAGATAATATATTGAATTTTTATTTTTTATTTTATTTTTTTGTATTTGGTGAATTTAAAAAAAAATATCACAAAATATTATACTTCTTAAGTATATCAAGATTAGGTGTATCTAAAAAAAATTTTAAAAAAAATACTTAAAAGGTTTAAAAAATTCAGTAAAAATAAAAAAAAAACACATGAAAAATAAAAAAATAATTAAAAAAAACTCAATTTTTTATTAAGGGACCTGTATTAAACAGAAACTTTAGGAGTGGTAGTGTAAACCACCACCCACCCCCCAAAAGTAGAGCACTCCACGTGGTCTCTGCTCTCCCATCAAAAGTTTATTTATTTATTTTATCAATTATTATTATTTTTTTGTAATATCTATCTCAATATCTATATGTATATGTACCTATATATACACATATATAATAACAAATACATTTTTAGTAACACTATGATATTTTGTGACATAAATAATAAAATAGTGTATAATTGTTTCCTCACTACAATATATATTTTTTTTGATGGTACACGTTATAAATATTTGTAACTCTCTCATGGTAGTTAAATAAATATTAAAAATACTACAATAAATCTACGGAACCTCCTAATTTTATTCGAAAATTTGTCATAATCCACTTGGCAGCAACCTTGGGCGCTATTTCATTTGAAAAGGAAACAAATAAACAAACAAAAAGAAGAAAAAAAAGTAGTGCTCCATAAGGATTTTTTTTATTTAACTTCTTTTTTTTTCTTTCGTTTAGTATAAATAAACTTAGATCTCTAAGAAAATTATTAAACAAGTACCGATAAAAATACAAATCGGGTTTAGATTCAACTTGTTACAATATGAAGTCAAAGAAACATACCTTATTGAAGAGAGGTTGAATAGTATCGTAATTACTATCCGAAGTATTGCAAAAACCATTGAGCTTTGGCATCTGGCTGAGTGTCAGCTCGTTCAATTGCAGCAGCTCAATTCCATTCACAGCCTTGCAGAGAGCAGTAAAACTTGGCAGGCCTCCAAGATGCAAGTTCTTTAGTTTAGGAAACACAATTTTATCTGTTGTTTCTGTTGTTGTTGATGCTATCTCATTTTGATCTCCTTCTTCTTCACTCGAAATAAGTACTTCCATCTTATGACATTCAGATACATCAAGTTCCTGTAGTTGCGTCAGATCTCTGGCTATAGATAATGAGAACATGCTTTCCAGTTCATCACATTTACGCACTTTTAGAGAAGTGAGGTTGCAGAGCCGTACAAGTTGAGTAGGACCCTTCCACAAATGTGTCAATGAGGGCAAGTCCCGGAGTTCCAGCCTTTTCAACGCACTGAAGGCCTCCTCTGGTAGTTGGCCATGACAAATCTCTTTCAATTTTTCTAAATGATGGAGACGCAGTGACTGTAACACAGGGAAGGCTATTTGTGGAACTGGAACCCCATTTGTTGTTTCAATGACATATTCCAGATCCTGACAATCTTCCAAGAACAATTCTGTTAATTTTTTGAAACCATCTTTGTCTAAATCATAGCCAACATTCTTCACACCTACTGCTCGTGTTATTTCTAAAATTTTAGTGATGTTGAAAAGATTCTTGAACCCACTCTCCATAAGATCACTCTCGTGAAGATCCTCGAGACTAAACTGGTTTTGTAATTGATAATCACAAAAATATCTAGTCTCTCTGCCAAAGCTAATGGTTATAGCGAATGTTTTTAGATTCGTAAGAACCAAGTCTCTTGGCCAGTATGCAGAACGTCGTAGGTGAATGACCAAAGTTGTAAAATTAGACAACCCACACAGCTCAGTCAAAGTCGCTTTAGTTTCTTCTATCCTATTTTCATGATCAAAGCTAGACCCAAGATACAACTCTTCTAGCTTTGATAAGCTCGACAAAACACCTGGGCAAATCCTCTCCACACCACATCGCATCAAATCCAGTAGCTTCAAGTGACTAAGCCGACCTATTTCTTTTGGCAACTCCTCGATTTCGGTGCCTTCAAAACTCAATATTTCTAGATTCTCTAACGCTCCTATTACAGATACATCATTGATCAGTCCGCATTTGCATAGTGACAAGCTTCGGAGGTTGGTCAACCATTGCAGGGATGTCGGCAGTGATCCTTCTATGTACAAATTCAACATGCTTAAAGCTTTGAGTTCCTTCATCCCTCCGTAGAAACTATCTGGGAGATTTGGTAATCTTAAATTTTTGAGGAGTTCCTCCATCCCTCCGTATAAACTATCTGGGAGATTTGGTAGTATTAAATTTTTGAGGAGTTCCTCCTTCCCTCTGTAGAAACTATCTGGGAGATTTGGCACTGATCCTTTCTCTAGCCGTAAAAGATGGAGTTCAGGAAATTCTAGATTATCAGGCAGCTCGCTCATACCAATGCATTGCAATGAAATTACAGCGTAATTTTTGTGTCGTTCTTTCTCCGGCCATTCTTTCAATGCATCGTCACATCTTACCATAAATGAATGCTCCTTCTTAGATGCTATTGATAGAGCAACATCACGAACTACATCATGCATTTTAACACAACCTTTTCGTTCACCATCCATCAAGAGATAGCCTTTTTTTAAGTCATCGACAAAGGCATGTACTCTGTCTCTTGCTTCATCGACGCTATCGATGGCCTCAAACAACTCTATCCCAACACCATGTCTAACGAGATCTTCAATTGGAATATTAAAATCTTCTGCATATAAGGAGCAGAGCAAAAAGCATTCCTTAATTTCTCTACTTCCTAAGAAGTCGTAACTCAACTCCAGAGATTTAAACACCTTTTCTTCTACTTCCCTGATGTTTTTTACCATAGACTTGCGTAACTGTAGAAGGGCTGAATTCCATGAATGCCTCTCTTTATCGTTGAGTGCCCTCGCAACTGTAACAATAGCAATCGGCAAACATCCACATTCATCCGCAACTTTCTTCTGTGTCATATACAAATCAGTACTTGTGTGACTTGTGTCATTGGAAATTCCAGCCATCTCTTCAAAGAGATTCCAAGCTTCTTCTTTAGTTAAGACTTCAACTGTAAATTTCCTTTGAGCGTTCATATCGTTGCATACATGATCAATTCTAGAAGTCAACAAAATTTTGCAACCTCTATGACCATCTCCAAATGGAATTCCTATGTCATTCAGTTCAAGACGCTTCCAAACATCGTCCAATATGACAAGGATTCTCTTGGTGCCCCTTAGTCTTTCACGCAGTTGACCTGCTCTTCCATGTTTAGTCTCCTGCTCAAATTTCAAACCCAATTTATCTCCAATTTCACCTTGAATCTTCATTTCATTAGGACTTTGGGACACTACAGCCATCACAACCTCATCGAACAATTTCTCTTCTTTTGCTCTTTTGGCAACTTCTTTCGCCATTGTTGTCTTACCAACACCTCCCATCCCACATATTGCAATCATGTGGAATCTATCATCCTTCAGTGCCTCCATGACATCGTGCGTAATCAATCGTCTAGATTCAAAAACCTTAATACCTTCAGTGGACGTGGATTCTATCCATGGTGAAGGCTTATTGTAGGCCACTTCCGTCAGTTTCCTCTCTTCGTGCAACTTAGCCACCTCTTTTGCTTTGTTGGTTGCTTTCTTACCGAGCGAGTACCGTAACTGCAGGTTTGGACACCACCCACCTAGGCACCATTTGTTTGCTTCAACTTCATCTTTTAGAATTTCTCTGGCCTCTTCGCTGCATTTATCAACCCTTTCCAGCCACCCCTTGACATCAGGTCCAGTAACTTTGACATTTCTTTCTGCTTCATCAACTGCTAGCTGCATTGCACCTCTTTTCTCATCCAACTTCTTGACTTCATCATTCAGATTCTTGACCTTGCTTTTATAGGAAAATAGATAACCGAAATGACGGCCAACTGGAGCCATTAGAAATTGTCCAACGCCTGCAATCGGGCCTACAATCGGGCCAACAAAACCAACGAAACCAGTAGCCATTTATCACTTCAATTTCAGCTGTGTACCTCTCTCTCTGTTTTTCTCTCTCTCTCTCTCTCTCTCTCTTCCCCTTTTTCTGCAATGCAATGTGTAAAACTAGAAGAAAACAAACGACTATTACAAAACAGAATGGTAATTGTTGAACACAGAGTTAAAATAGAGTGGCAGAGGAAGAGATTGCAAAGATTTCTAGAACCAAAAGAAGATATACAGAGATTTCTCTATCCTGGTAAGTTACAGCTGAACAAAGAGCAATACAATTTTGATGGAGAAATGTTAGGAATCATGAATTTTTTTTTATGAAAATGATCATGAAATATTTGTGACTCTTAGATTATCTTGATTAGTGTGTGGTGCTTTATTCTAAGTGTAATCCAAAGGTCATAAATCTTTCATGATTATTTTCATGAAAGACTTTTCATGATACCTCAAAGGAACACTCTGCAAGATTTTTGCTTTTTTTTTTTTTTTTTTTTTTTTGACAAGCAAGGTTGAATATAGAGAATTTCAATATAATTGGACAAAGAGAACTTGTGTTGTAAAACAGAAATTGCAAAGAAGAAAGTGAGCTTAATAAAAATGAAAACAGAATACAGAGAATACTGATTTGGTAATTGTTCAACACAGAGTAAATAAAATAGAGTTGCAGAGGAGAAGATTACAAAGTTTCCTAACATCAAAAGAGAATACAGGGAATTTTTTATTTTTTATTTTTTTCTGATAAGCAACAGTGGAACACAGAGATTTATAATAAAACTGAAGACAAAAAGAAAAATTATAGTTCAGATTTAAACACAGAAAGAAATAGTAGAATTGAAGTGGAAGTGAAGAAAGAAAAACCTTGGAAACTTTCCAGAGTGTCTTAGAGATGAAACAGGCACAGCATTAACAACTCAGTCGACAGTGAAGAGAAAAGCTTTTCACCAAAGACAAACAAGACCATTAACATCCATCAAAGAGAAACAATAAAAGGGGTTTTGGAGAAGAGTTTGTGGAGGAGAGAGTAATAATTTTGAAATCAGTACTATACCTGCACCATCTAATGCTGTTACATTTAAAATTAATTTTTCATTGACTGCTTGTGTCTTGGCCTTTTCACTCTGTCCTTTCAGAAATTATTTTGAGATCAGTAGTATCCCTACACCATCTAGTGCTGTTACATATAAAATTAATTTTTCATTGACTGTTTGTGTCTTAGCCTTTTCACTCTGTACTTTCAGAAATTATTTTGAGATCAGTAATATGCCTATAGCATCTACTGCTGTTGAGCATAGACAGAGACCCTCTCTAATTATTACCTCATAATTTCTACACATATGTAACGGATGGTAATTAGAGGAAAAGAAAAAAAAAATAAAAGAAAAAATAATCAATCAAAAAAGAGAAAAAGTCAAAAGAGATGAGGAGAAGGAAATCTTAAACATTTTTAAATACTATTACGTAAAATTAATTTTTCATTGACTGTTTGTGTCTTAGCCCTTTTACTCTGTCCTTTCAGAAATAATTTTGAGATGACTGCTTGTGTCTTGGCCTTTTCACTCTGTCCTTTCATAAATAATTTTGAGATCAGTACTATCTCTACACCATCTGATGCTGTTACATCTCAAATTAATTTTTCATTGACTCCTTGAGTTTGGGCCTTTTCACTCTGTCCTTTCAGAAATAATTTTTAGATTAATACAATACCTACAACTCTTACATTGAAAAATTAATTTCTCATTGACTGCTTGTGTCTTGGCCTTTTCACTTTGTCATTTTAAAAATACGGCATCGTTTGAGAATAAATTAATTTAGTAATTTTTTAATTATTTGATTAAAATATGAATTAAAAAAAATTAGTATATTTGGAATGACTTTTTAATTTTTTACGAAAAGATATATAAAAAGTAGAGAGAAAAGAGAATCTTTAACCTTTTAGTATGAATAATTAATTTTTTAATTAATTTAATAATTTTTTGACTTTTTAACTAAAATGAAAAATTTGCAAACGAAACCTAATTTTGAAATAAATATTATACTTACACCATCTACCATCTGATGCTCTTACATCTAAAATTAAATTAATTTTTCATTGACTACTTGTGTCTTGGCATTTTCACTCTGTCCTTTCAGAAATAATTTTGAGATGAGTACTATACCTACACCATCTCATCTGATGCTCTTACATTTAAAATTAATTTTTCATTGATTGCTTGTGTTTGGTCTTTTCACTCTGACCTTTCATAAATAATTTTGAGAACACTACTTGTCACGCCCCCAAAAAAAAAAACCCAATATATATATATATATATATATCATTGGCATGTAATATTAAAAGAAACCAATTCATTATCTCATTCATCAGAGTAATACTAAATGAAAACATTACATGTAATATCAAATTAAATGCCCTATAGGTTTACATCATTCCAAGCCAACACTTAGACACAAAAATATGAGTTCTAACTCAAATACAAATAAAGCCCTAGGCTTGAATGTTTATCAAATAAAAACAAATAACTAAAGATAGTCTTCAAAATCCAAATCCTTCCAAGCTAAGTCGTTGGAGATAGTTTATCACCTGGACCTGAAAATGATGTTCCCATAAAGGGTGAGCCACAGCCCAGTAGAAATATACTAAACCAAATATAAGCATTGATTAAAGCAATAGCATTCAATAGATGGTTAACCAAGATAATCAATTACATCATTTTACAGTCTCATGACACTATTGTCTAAGACACGTTTTACTTTCCAACTTTATCAATATGGCTCAGAACCTGGCCAAACTTACAACAGTGAACTATATATATCATATTCACATTCTTCCAATGTCAACAAACAGATGAGACTCAGGCTAAAATCAAAAAACTTCATACTTCCAGTTTGATACACATTTTAGTGCTGTATCAATAAAAACACTTCAATATAAATAAGCACACATAAAAGTGATGCTAATGGAGTCCATCCCCTATCTCCTCCCAAACAAAAATGCATATACAATGTATTAAACACTCGTCATATACAACACACAATCAATACATGTATTTTCTGTATTAATTTGATAGTCTAAATTTATGACTTAAACAAATTGATTAGTTTCAATTTTCCCTAACCCACATGCAATGTCTACAACAAACACGACTATCCTCCACCGATAGCCCAAAACAGTTATTCCTAAACAGGAAATAAATGTATCAACTAACATAATTCCAACATTTTCACAGGTGAGTGATTAAACTAACCAACTACACCATTTAATCAATAAATTCATTAATTAGCAAGTATTTGGTGTTGTTTTGCCATGATTTACATCTGTTTAAAGTTGGTTTAGTGGTCTCTTGTATGCACCATATACTTACCTTGCAATCCCCTCATTTGTATCTATCATTTAGACTACCATGCTTGATGTTTTGGCTCAACTCCATGAAGCTTCTAGCCTTGTTTTAACATGCTTGAGCTCTTTTTTTCATTGTTTTGGTCATGCTTACATTGTTTTGTATAGCTACCATGCAATCTAGCTTGTTAGCTTTGGGTGTTTATGTCACTAGCATGCTCTATTCGGATCATTTCAATGGTTTGGCATCACTTGCAATATTATTTCAGTCCATATAGTATGCTCGTGTACTTGCATTTGTCACTCCTTTAATGCTTTAAAGGGTTTGTGTTTTATGCCTCATGAATGTGTCATTGTGTATGCCACCATGCTTAGGTCTTTGGGATACCATCTAAGTGTGGGTTTTTGGGCTTATTTTGACATGCCATAACTCTGATTTTGTTGGCCTAAGTCATGCCATGTTTGGTTTTGATAGGTGTAGTGTAACACCCTCTTTGGTAGCCTTGCATGCCTCATGTTTTGGCATTGTATTCTAGCTTGTGTTGGCTAGTTTTGAGCTTGTTCTCGGTCTTGTTTGGACCTGCCTTAGGACTATTTTAGGTCCTCTTGGCGCTTTGGGGCTTGCTTTGTATAGCCATGGTTTGAACCCTTAGGCTAGTTTCAAGCTTTAAGCTTTCTTGCATGCTTTGCTTGTGTACTTTGGTCGGTTTGGCACCTCTCCTAACATGATTTCAGAGCTTAACATGTTTGCCTAATATCCATGTTTGTCTCCCTTTAAGCGTTCTTAAAAGTTGCTCTACAATGCTTAAGGTAATGGACCATTAGCATGCATGTTTATATGTGTATTTCATCCCTTTGTTTTATTACTTTGGCCACTGATTTGGACCTATTTGAGAGCTGTCCATTTTGGTTCAAGACCATTATCGCATGTTGTTGCATGCTTGCCTTGCATGTTGTTGCATACTTGGCCTATTGCATGTTGTTGCATGCTTGAGTTATATCACATTTGGCATGCCCCTTTTGTTAAGTTGCTTTGCATGTTTGCATGTATTCTCCCTTGCATGTTGTTGCATGCTTGCCCCACATGTTACATGCTTGCCTATCCTTGAACGTTGCCACATGCCTTGCATGCTTGTTTAGGTTGCATTGCATTTGGCATGCTTATTACCATTAGCCTGGTATGGCATTGTCCTTGACATGCTTCATGTTGCATTAGTTTTGCTTGCATGTTTGCATCCCTTGCCTCTTGATCAAGCATGATAGAGCTTGGGGTCCCTTATGTGTTTGTTTTTTTTTTTTTTTTGCCTTTCATTCAAGCTTAGTCTCCAGCCTCTGTTAACAATAGAATAATAATAGATCAGGCTCATATGTGAGGATAATGATGGATGCCTCCTTCAAATTCTAAGGTAACTACAAATAGTTGTTAGCCTCAATGTTAAGATTATGTGTGAGATTTTTTGCATATTTGTTATTTCTAAGACATATAATACGTTAATGTGCCACATATTAATGAAAAGCTGGAGTTTGTGATTGATTATAAGTCTATCAAATAGATTATAAATAAAAAAAAATAAAAAATAAAAAGAATGGTATCATTTATTCATTTTATATATGTAGTTTTTAAAAATCAATAATTATAATTTTCGTAATTTTCATAATTTTCATTTTCAATTCTATTTAGTAACTATTTAATTTATTAATTAGTGTGTTTCTTAAGTGTAGAGTATACAAGTGACACAAAATTAGTGTGTTTTTTAGCAAAAAATAAAAAATAAAAAAACTTTTGATCTAAGAGGCTTTAGGAATTTCAAAACATTAATATAAATTTTTTAATTTTAATAGTTAAATATATAGGTGACATAAAATTATTGGCAGATTTAACCGTTTCTATAATTTTAAATTTACAAAAAAAATATATTTATATATAGAAAGTCAAATAAATAAATTTAACCATATCTAAACCACATCTAA